TCTGTATAGCCCTGGCTGTCCTGGAACTCACTCTGTAGACCAGGCTGTCCTCGAACTCAGAAATCCGCCTGCCTACAGAGTGAGTTCCAGGACAGCCAGAGCCATACAGAGAAACCATGTCTCGAAAAACAAACAAATGCTGGGCAGTGGTGGTGTGCACCTTTAATCCCAGCATTTGGGAGGCAGAGGCAGGCGGATTTCTGAGCCTGGTCTACAGAGTGAGTTCCAGGACAGCCAGGGCTACATAGAGAAACCCTGTCTCGAAAAACCAGAAAAAAAAAAAAAGAAGAAAAACAACAAACAAAAAAGGAAGGTGGAGGACTGCTACTTCAGAATATACTTGAGGTTGACCTCTGACCTCTACCCACAGGCATACATACATGAACATCTATATACACAGAAAATTCAAATTGAAGTGAACAAATGGAAGATACGCTTGAGGTGAATTTGGAGGAAGGTTCTAAGAATCTTCTGAGTGAGATGACACTATGCTTAGTTCCTCAAGGAATAATATGACAAGGAGTAAATTGTATGTTAAGAAACAAGTTAGACCTGGCGTGGTGGTACATGTGTGTAATCTCAGCACTCAGGAGGCAGAGGCAGGCAGAGTTCGAGGCTAGCCTAGTGTACAAAGTGAGTTGAGGTCAGCCAGGGCTTCTTCACAGAGACACCCTGTCTTGAAAACCAAACAAAACCAACTAGCCAAACAAAAAAACCAAAAAGGAATTTTTATTGAGAACAGGATAGCAAATTTAGTTTCCAGCTTCTAGGAGGAAAGTATATCACATAAACCACATAGTTTATACAGAACCATTTTTCTTCAAATCCCACTTCCCATATACTTGCCAGTGGCTAGTTCTTGGAGGTAGGACAAAATAAGCATATCAGATACAGGCTTGTTCTGTTCTTTTCCTTTTCTTCACCCTGCCCCCCCCCCCCTGTTTTTCAAGGCAGGGTTTTTCTATGTAGTTTTGGCTGTTATATTTTCATCTGAAGTTTTTCTTATAAAATTTTGATTTTTTTTGTTTCTAATTGTGCTTGATTTATCAACATTTCTTTTTACTAGTCTTCCTCCAGATGTTAGAGGTGTGCGTTTTGTTTGTTTTTGAAATACGTAGCACAGGTTTAATACTTATTAAAGAAAGCACTGCCCGGGCAGTGGTGGCGCACGCCTTTAACCCCAGCACTTGGGAGGCAGAGGCAGGTGGATTTTTGAGTTCGAGGCCAGCCTGGTCTACAGAGTGAGTTCCAGGACAGCCAGGGCTACACAGAAAAACCCTGTCTCGAAAAACAAAAACGCCACCACCGCCCGGCCCCTTTCTGTATTTCCTATTATGTACAAGTTTTACTTTAACCCAGGACTTTGTTTCATGCAATCAAATATTCCCTTTGGTGGATTCATTATTAAGTCTACTTTCAAAAGAAGTAAACTATTTGTAAATACCACATAAAAGTGATAAAGCTTGTCGTATTAAGGGAAGTGACATTCATAAACACAGTCTAAAGAAAAGCCAGGAAGAAAACTGGAAAACATTATTACACACAAAGTTGTCTAAGCTAAATCAATGAGAAAATACTTATTAAAGAAAGCACTGCCCGGGCAGTGGTGGCACACGCCTTTAACCCCAGCACTTGGGAGGCAGAGGCAGGTGGATTTTTGAGTTCGAGGCCAGCCTGGTCTACAGAGTGAGTTCCAGGACAGCCAGGGCTATACAGAAAAACCCTGTCTAGAAAACCCCCCCCAAAAAAAAGAAAGAAAGAAAGAAATACAGAAAGGACAAACAAGGAGAAAACCTTTCCCACTCAGTGCCAAGTGTTATAGAGAGTACAATTTGACTTTTTTTTAAAAGTGGTACAGTATAACCTAGTCTTGTTTGCGATTTCATTACTATGTAACATAGTCACTAACCTTGAAGAAATAAAATAGGAATAAGTGCTTCTTACCTTTTTTTTTGGGGGGGGGAGGTGAAATCTAGCAATTTACTAGACCTCGGAGGGGTATGGCTTGAATAAGGAGAGTTGATTCTAGAATGTCAGCATAGTGAAATTTAGAAGCTAGTTCATATAAAACCAAATTTCAAGTTATATTTTCTTTCCCTTAGTATTAGTATTTGTTTTCTTTTTTGGAGTATGTACATTTATTTCTTTATTTTCTTCTCCTTCCTCCATTCTTCCCTTCCAATAGGATGTTTTTACTATATGTAGTTCAGTTTCTCATCTCTCGTAGTGTTTGTATATAGTGAGTTTGATAAGTAGGGAAGCAGCAGCTTCATTTTGTTCTTCAGCTTCAAATATCAGGCAGCAGAGATTTGGACGATGAAGCAGTTGTCAAAGCTGTACTTGGTTCTCATGTTGGGATAAAAATTTGGAGTGGGCAGGATCTCCTTTTATCTTGATTTGGAAATTTTTCTGTTATTCACAAAGTAGTTAGTTGACTCCCATTCCTGATCTGCTTCTCTGAGTCTGAGCTCCCACAGATACTTAAAACAATTTTATTGCTTAAAAAATGTTTCTAGTTAGCGGGGTGGTGGTGGTGCATGCCTTTAATCCCAGGGCACTTGGGAGGCAGAGGCAGGCGGATTTCTGAGTTCGAGGCCAGCCTGGTCTACAGATTGAGTTCCAGGACAGCCAGGGCTACACAGAGAAACCCTGTCTCGAAAAACCAAACCAAACCAAAAAAAAAAAAAGTTTCTAGTAATCTTACTGATCAGACATTGTTGACCACTACAACTTCAAAATAAATTTGGCTTTTTAAAAATGTTATAAATGTGTTTTGGCCTTTTGCCTACACACCTGGTACTGTTGAGTCCAGAAAGGGATTCCTTTAAACTGGAGTTATAGATGGTTGTGAACTGAATGAAGCTACATACGGGTGCTGGGAATTGAACTCAGCAGAACGTCCTGGAAGAACGTCCATTGTTTTTACTGCTGAGCTATATCTTTCCAGCCAACCTCTCCCACCCACCTCCCGCCCCCACTCCCCTGTTTTCAATATACGGTTTCTCTGTATAGAGCTGGCTATCCTGGAATGCTTCTCTGTAGAGCAGGTTGGCCTTGAACTCATATCTGATTGTCTCTGCTTCCCAGATGTTGGGATTAAAGGCAGGTTCCACTACACCTGACTCAGATTTGATGATTTTTCTTTATAGTTTTTCTTTACTGGCTCTTGTGTACCTTGTATAACACAGACTTCTTAACTCTTCTCAATCTGTATATGTGAGTCATCTCAATGATTACAGAAGCATTAGTTATCTATATAAGGCTACTGCCATGTTGCCTGGGCAGGTGTAGAAAGAGAGGGACAGGACAGTGACATACCCCAAAGTCTAAAAACAACTTGGGAGAATTCCCTTCCTTTGTGACATTACTGTGCTTCAGATAAAAATGACAACATTTGTATTGAAGCACTTTCTGAACGTCTGTTCAGTGTGCTCCTGGGTTTTGAGCTGCAGTTGCACCCAGGCCAGGAGGTTATAGAGAAAACAAAACCAGGAAACCCACTTCTGACTAAACCGTGCTTTTTCTAATTGTGGTTTCCTCTTATCTGCTACCATTTTTGAAGTCCTCAGATGATTATTTTATTCATTCTGTCCAGACTTTCAGTTACATTTAATGGAGAACAAACTATGCTTACTGCCATTATTGCATCTGAAACACTTATATTGGCTTTTTGTTTGTTTTTGTTTTTAATTTAACTACAGTTTGGGGCTGTAGTTCATCATGGTGGGGAACACATGGCCGGAATGTGAGGTCATATTACATTTGCAGTCAGAAAGCAGGAAGATACAAGTGTTCCATAGATGCAATTTTAATATAGTCATATGTTTATTTATTTGAGAATTTACTGTATGCCCATGCAGTAGTAGTTACTAATAGAAATGTAAACAGATGATCTTCTTTTTTTTTTTTTTAAAGACAGGGTTTCTCTGTGTCTCCATGGCTGCTCTGGAACTTACTCTAGACCAGGCTGGCCTTAAATTCACTTGTCTCTGTTTCCCAAGTGCTAGAATTAAAGTTGTTGGCCATTATACCTTGTTAAAATAGATAATCATAAGATGTGTACAGTGATAGGTCACAGGTAGAGGTGTGATTTGGGAGTGGAGACAAAAATTAAGCAATTTTATAGTCATTGAGTAATTCAAGTGTTAATTTTAGCCTTTTTTATCTGTTTCTGCTTTAGAATTTGATTTCTTGTTTGTGGTTGAGGAAAAAGTGGATGAAATCTCTAGATATTTATGTTTTATATCTAATTATTGACATGGTCATAGTAATAGACAATTATAAGAATGAGAACATAAAATAAAATAAGAATTAATTCATTGTTATTGTTTCCTTGTTTTTCAGGTCTTAGAAAAATACCCTAATACACCCATGAGTCATAAAGAAATTCTACAAGTTATCCAGAGAGAAGGACTAAAAGAAATCAGGCAAGATATTAAACTATTACTAGTAATGATTGTGTTTGGTTAGAGTACTTAATACTTAGTATCTATTAGTATTCTTTGTCTTACACATTGATTAGTATAATATACTTTCTGAACTTCAAGTTTATTCATCTGTCAGTCTTTGTAGTTTTTAAGTCATTATATATATAAAATCAAAAATAAGTAAAGCACACTTAATGAGAAGGTAAAGTGTCTTTCAAAGCCTATGCACATTAATTACTTGGGAGGCCTGGAGTCATCTTTAAGCCTTCACTTACCTATTACTTTGTACTTTTAATATACTGAGATTGGTAATTACTGGATAAAAATTAGTGTAAACTTCTAGAGGTCAGGAGTGTAAGAAGAAATAAGATTTGTTAACAAGAATGAAATGGAAAATGTTTACTATATGTGTCAAGAGAAAGTCTTTGCTGGACATTATGACACTGTAGTCCAAGATGATTTAGAGAGACTTAAGTCTTGGAAGATCGCTTGAGTCTATGAGTTCTGGACCAACTTGGGCAACATAGCAAAATCCTTTCTTCAAAAATATGTAAATAGAGCTGCTAAGGTGTTGGAAGGAATTCAGGCCCTTGCTCATCTAATGATCTGAATTCAATCTTCAGAACTCACAGTAGGAATAGGGAGCTCCCATAGATAACTTCTGGAAGTTGTCCTTTGGTCCTTTGGTCTCCACATGCATTTTGTGGCACATGCACACACACACGGGTGTGCATATATGCACATTTAAAAATGAATACATAGACAAATGTTTAATCTTTAAATGTAGTAGATATATTAATAGGGTCAAAAATAATACACTCCAATTTCTAAGTGTCTTGCTATGTTACTATATAATCATTATTGCATAATTAAAACTTTCTGTTATCAAGGAATGTTAAAATTATGTCATTGTATATTGATAAATTTGGCCATCTACATTTGAGTTATTTCATAAAGATAAGAAATTTGAACCAAAGCCGGGCAGTGGTGGCGAATGCCTTTAATCCCAGCACTTGGGAAGCAGAGGCAGGCGGATTTCTGAGTTCGAGGCCAGCCTGGTCTACAGAGTGAGTTCCAGGACAGCCAGGGCTATACAGAGAAACCCTGTCTTGAAAAACAAACAAACAAAAAACAACAACAAAAAAATTTGAACAAAAAAATAGAAACAAGAAAGGTTTGGTATAGTGGGGCACATTTGTAATCTCAGTGTTCTGGAAGCTAAGACAAGTACTGTAAGTTCAAGGCCAGTCTTGGTTACATATTGAATACCAGGCTGGCAGGGCTATCCAACATCCCTCTGTCTGTGTATTAGTTACTTTTTCTGTTGCTGGGATAAAACACGGTGACCAAGGAATCTTATAAAAGAAACTTTTAATTGGGTTTAGAGTTATAGAGGGTGTTTAGAGCTTAAATCTTGACTCACAAGCCAGGGACAGAGAGTGAGGTAACTGGGAATTAAGTGGTTTTTTGAAACTTTATCCCACTCCCAGTGATACACCTTCTCCACACCTTCTAATCCTTTCCAAACAGTTGGGGACCAAGCATTCACCTATATGAGGTTATAGGGACCATTCTCATTTAAACTACCACACCCTGTTTTAGGAAATCAAATCAAAATAAAAATAAACATTTGTAGTACTTTTATAACAAATGGAATAGAGTTCATTGTCATTACTTTATGGCAGAAATCATTATCTCTGGAAAGGTAGTTGTTGTCAAGGCTGCAAACTTGGTAGGATTGTCAAGAAGAAGTTAAACAGAAACAAATCCTTAGGTATTGATAGAAAAAGGTTTTGTTTTCTTTTTTGGAAGAGGGATGAGGGGTAGGTAGGATCTCATACTCAGAGTGGCCTGGAAGTTGAACCGTGTAAATAATGAGATTACAGGTTACTACCTTTCCCATTGCTGTTTTGTTGTGTTTTCTTCAGCCAGGATTAACTAAATAGCCTATGTTGGCCTAGAATTCCTAAATCTGAGAGTACAAGCATGTACCTCTATACCCAGCAGCAGCAGCAGCAGCAGCAATATAATCAAACCTGTTGTTAAGTTTGCATCGAGTTCATTGTAGATCATAGAGAAGCAGATCACCCTCAAGGCCGTTGTTGATGGCTTTATGATGACTCCTTGTAATAAAGATGCATGAGAAAAAGGATACTATTACAAAATTCTCACTGAACTCTGAGCTGCTCTGATAGTTACACTTTTTCATAGAATTCAGGTATTTAACTAGTTTTTCTATAGTAGCTTAGGCTATATAGCTGAATTTCAATGTGCAATTTTAGACAATAATGTTTTGGATTAATTTATACATTTTAAAAATGTAATGTTTTATGAAATAAAATGGTGATGATTACTAATTTGAGGATTGTTAGTATTGCTGGAAGATCAGGATATAAATTATTTGGGGGAGCTTACTTATTGTTACTTGAAAGAAAAATTAAAACCTTTTTTTTTCCCTCCTCTTATTTTCTTGGGGTGCATTCCAACTCCAGAAGGTAAGAAGTATTACTTTATTCTAAAGGAGTATTAAGCAAATATAAAGCACTCTTTTACAAGTTTTATTGAGTGTGCCTTGGTATGCATGATTTTTACTTTATCAAACTAATTGGCTTAGAAATGAAGTAATAGTGATAGTGTATAAATATTAATCACTAAGTGTGCTTTTTTATTGTTTATTTTATAGTTTGTAACCATTATATGACCATAATTTTAGAAATCGTTGGCATTAAGGTTTATCAAAATTTTCATTTGCGTTTTAGCACTGAAGTGTAATTCAGCATGTTGATTAAAACACTTACAAGATAGAAATGTGCAGGTTGCTTGTTGCCTAAGAGATTTAAATTATATTTACTTGAGTTGTATAGATAAAGTATTGGCCAATTGTCTAATCAAGTGATACCTAAAACCAGGCAGAACAGATTAAAATTCATAGTCTGAATCCTTTACTGAGTTTTTTTTGTCTGTGTTTGCATGCCACTTCAGATAACCTTAGACTGCAGCAATTCCCTTATTTATAGTATAGTTTTTTGTTTTTATTTCAGTTATATGAGTTTTATGTGAAGCTTGAGAACAGGGAAATATATGTGTTTTTGTGTCATATATATGCCATGTTTGCTTATAGATTATGTTTGCTTATCTTCTAACTTTAGTTAGTACTTTGTTAAGTTCAGGTCATGAATGAAGCTTAATAAGATTTAAATTTTTATAATTTTTTTTGTGTGTATGTGTAAGTGTGCTTGCCTGTGTATTGAGGTGCTCTGATGGCAGGGTCTTTGATTTTGGTCTGTTGGATACTTTGTAGGTGGTAGTGGTGGTCTCAGGTCTTTGGCTAAACAACTTCTTTTGTTCTGGTCTGGTTTTGGCTGTTTTGTTTTTAAGCAGGATTTTACTAAGATCTGTCTCCAAAATGCTGGGCTTAGAGCTGTGTGCCACCATGCCCAGTTTTATATGGTTTTACCCTGTATGCATGATACCACCTGATAACTCCCTCCTATTTTAGTATATCTTTTTGAGGCTTAAAGTCAAAGCTATTTAATATAGTCTAAGATTTACCATAACTCTTCAGTTACTTCTCTGAGAAAGAATTCCTGATAGAAAATATTAGGAGTTGGCTGAATGACTCAGACAACTGTTTAAAAACTCAGAAGTTCAGCATCTACATCTGCATCCACATCATCTGGCATTATAGCTCTGACACAACAGCAGAAAGCAAAGCTAGGCTGAAGACAAAACTCAACAGTTAAAAGCACTTGCTACTCTTGAAGAGGAACCAAATACAAATTAAAAAATAATTTTTTTAAAAGAAATAAAAAGCAGTTATAACAGCACTAGCTATTAAGATACAAAATTATATTGCTAAACGGGCAATAACCACCCAATAGGGCAGCGATATAAAGTTTTATATAATTTTTGTGTTTTTATTGTCTCCAGTTCAGTTCTTGTATAATTTAACCCATAATTCATTTTTTTTCCCCCACAAAGATTCTGTGTTTACTCTCATTGGCACTTCTTTTACCTGGAATCCTAAGTTCTTATATGTAACTTTTTTTACTTCTTATTTTAGAGGGAAACACTGATTGGAACTTGGTCCAGCTGTTAAGAACTTTTTTTTTTTTTTTTTTGTTTTGTTTTGTTTTGTTTTGTTTTTCGAGACAGGGTTTCTCTGTATAGCCCTGGCTGTCCTGGAACTCACTCTGTAGACCAGGCTGGCCTCGAACTCAGAAATCCGCCTGCCTCTGCCTCCCAAGTGCTGGGATTAAAGGCGTGCGCCACCAACGCCCGGCTGTTAAGAACTTTTAAGTATGATAATTTGGGCAGTGGTTGTGGTGCGTGCCTTTAATCCCAGCACTCAGTAGGAGGAGACAGAAATAGCTAGATCTCTGGGTTCAAGGCCAGCTTGGATTACAGAATGAGTTCCAGGACAGCCAGGCCTATATTGTCTCAAAACCACAAAAAAACCCCAAAAAACAAAAACCCTTTAAGTATCCTAATTATCTGTAATAAGATAATAAATAGATAGGTAGGCAGTACTCTTCTCACAGAAATGAAGAAGCATTCTGTTTTTTTCAGAGCTACTTTTTATTATCCGTTTATCATAACATTCAAAAGTTAGGTGTTATAATGAACCAGTATTTGAAATGACCTTGGTTAAAATAGGAGTTAGGTATTTCATATGTATTTTCTTTTATAAAGACATTGAAACAGAAAGGAATTGTATAGCTAGTTAGTGATAGAACTTTTTGTAAAAGGTAGGCAGTTGGTTTGGGTAAGGATTTTACTTGGCCTCCTTGAGAATAGGGAGTGAACCCATGACCTTTACAAGGCATGGCAGGCAGCGCGGCAGCACTCTACCAAACCTTGGACAAGGAGATAGGTGTTGTTGTTGTCGTCTGACCATCCCCCCTCCCGCCCCCCCACCGTGTGTGTGTGTGTGTGTGTGTGTGTGTGTGTTTTATTTCTTAACAATTCCAGCTGGGCTCATGGCACGTGTCTTTAATCATAGCACCCTGTGGCCTTCTCTCTGGGTTTTAATATATTACATTATCACAGTTCAGAAAAAGAACGGACACATGTCCATTAGAGACATCCAAGATATTCACAGGCTCCTTGGTTTACTGTGTGGATTTTTATTTTTTATTTTATTCTTTGGGTGTGTTATATGTACACGCTTATGTGGTTGCAAGACGTGTAGGCATGGTAGTCAGAGATGGACATCAAGCATTTTCTTGCGCACCCCTCCCACCCCCCCCCCCCCCCCCCGTTTAACTTTTTTCTTGGGCTAGACTGGGTAAGTAATGAGTGCCAGTGATCTGCCTTTCTTAATGTCAGTTCTTCCAGATCTGTCCAGTGACCTTTGTTGCATTGAATGTCACCAGCAGAGAACTGAAAGGAAGATGAGTTGAGAATGTACAGTTAAATTGAGACCTGGAGAGATGTCTAGGCAGTTAAGGATATTGACTGCTCTTCCAGAGGTAGGGGGTTGAAATCCCAGCACCTACATGGCAGCTCACAACTGTCTATAACTCTAGAATCTGATACTTTCTCATAGATAATCATACAGGCAAAACACCAATATACATAAAATGGAGATAAATTAACATTTTTTTTTAAAATGTAAAAGTTGTTTTGTCTCTTAGTAATTGTAAGAAACCAAAAGAACCAAACCAAACAAGAACAGCAAAAAAATTACTTAAGGAGTCTCTGGTATGACTTCAGACCGTCCCCTGACTCTATATGCCTTTTTTTTTTTAGTTATTTCTTTATTTAATATATATGAGTTCTCTATCTGCATGTACGCCTGCATGCCAGAAGAGGGCATCAGCTCACATTATAGATGGTTGTGAGCTACCGTGTAGTTGCTGGGAATTGAACTCAGGACCTCTGGAAGAGCAGCTAGTGCTCTTAACTACTTAGCCATCTCTTCAACCCTCTATATGCTTCTTCCTCCCCCCCCCCCCCCTCCCTCCCTCCCTCCCTCCTTCCTTCCTTCCTTCCTTCCTTCCTTCCTTCCTTCCTTCCTTCCTGAGATAGGATTTCTTTGTGTACTCCCTGGCTGTCCTAGAACCAGTTCTGTTGCCCAGGCTGGCCTGAAATTAAAAGCATGAGTCACCACCTCCTGGCTTGTGTATGAACTTGTTAGTGTGCTCTCTTGCTACTTCTGTTTTCCTAAGATGCATGAATATGTTGCTTTTATTGCAGCACCAAAGGCCAGGCATGGTGTTCCATAACTGTAATACTAGTGCTTGAGAGACTAACCAAGGGAGAGTGCCTTGAGTTTGAGGCCAGCCTGGGCTACATGGTGTTCCGTACTTGTAATACTAGTGCTTGAGAGACTAAACTAGGAAGATTGCCTTGAGTTTGAGGCCAGCCTGGGCTATATCTAGAGTTCCACACCACTTCAGACCTGTGCTACAGAATGAGAATTCTATCTAAAAGAAAAAAAAAAACAACCAAACAAAAAGCCCAGACATACAAAAAAAGTATTAGTATGTTTTCTCTAGTACTATGGCCCCTGACCTTAGACTGATTTTTATAATATTTCTACTATACTTTATTTTTTAATACTGTTCTTAGTTTTAAGCTTTTATTTTAATAGCTATAAAATATGTGTATGAATTTTTAGGTTTGTTTGTTTGTTTGTTTCTTTTTGAGGCAGTTTCACAGTGTAGCCCTGGTTGGCCTGGTATTTAGTATGTAGACCAGGCTGGCCTCAAACTCACAGAGATCCACCTGCCTCTCAAGTGCTGAGATTAAAGGCATGTACTTCCATGCCTGACATGTATCAATATTTGGTGAATGCATGTGCATGCGTGCATGCTTGATGTCTACAGAGGTTGGAGGGGATATTGTATCCCTTCAAACTAGAGTTATAGATGGTTGTAAGCTTCCATGTGGGTGCTGGGAATTGAACTTGGGTCTTCAGCAAAAGTAACAGGTGTTTTAAACCACCAAGCCATCTTTCTAACCTCTACAGTTAGATATTATATAACATGCTATGATTTTTTATTTGTGGGGGAGAGTCTGACAAAACATTTTCATCTTCCTGCCTCAGCCTCTAGAGCAGTGTTTCCTAAACTGTGGGTTGAGACCTTTTGGCAGGGGGTGTCAAAAATCTTTTCTCGGGGGTGGTCTAAAACCATAGGAAAACAGAGATATTTACATTAAGATTCATAACAATAGTAATATTACAGTTATGAAGTAGCAATGAAATAATTGTTTTGGTTGGGTTTCACAACAACATGAGAATATTAAACGTTGGCAACATTAGGAAGGTTTGATTTTTGTGTGTGAGTCACCATGCCCCCCAGGGGTACTCTTTAATGCATGTGGCTTTATGCTTAAAACTGCCTAGCTCTCTTTCCGGTTTCATTTAGTTTCTTTCTTTCTCTCCCTTCTCCCCTCCCCCACCTTCTCTCTCTTTTTGTTTTTTTTTCTGACACAGGGTTCTTCTGTGTATACTAGCTATTTTGAAACTTGCTCTATTAATGAGGCTGGCCTTGAACTTAGAAATCTGCCTGCCTGCCTCTCTGTCTCCCAAGTACTGGGATTAAAAGCATGCGCCACTACACCCAGCCTTTCTCTCTCTCTCTCTCTTTCTTCCTTCCTTCCTTCTTTCTTTCCTTCCTTCCTACCCTCCCACCCTCCTCCCTCCTCCCCCCCCCCCCCTCCCCCCTCTCTCTCTCTCTCTCTCCTCTCTCTCTCTCTCTTTCTTTCTTTCATTTTCTTGTTCACATGTGTTTGAGTTTATTGTAGAGAAAAGTAACAGAAATTGTAGTTGGATAAAGGGAAGAGTTGGACATAGAACTAATGTGAGCTTCTGTCTCCAAGCCTAAGCAGCCCAGCCATGGATCTACATGGTTCTTTTGCATCGAGAAGCTAATCTTTCCGGCCATTTCCATGTTGTAGAACTTCTGCTATATTTCCTAGCTCTCACTGGCTGTGGCAGCAAGGCTTCTCATATGGCATCGTCACTTTATGATTTCAGTAGCTTGTAGGTGGTGAGGATTCTGATTAGAGTCCTGTATGTGTCTTCCATATCTCCCTCCTGAACCATCACAATCCCTTGGCATTGACCCTTAGATGTTTAGCCATGGCCTTGTATCTTCATTCTTCAGGACCTATAGACTGGGACTTCAGCACTTGGACTCTAGGTTGCTTCCCGTTTCTTAATCTATAAGTACTTAACAAAAGAAGCCAGCATTGGAGTTGTGGGGAAACATTAGGCCCATTTCCTTAATGCAATGGCAAGTCAAGATAAGGATGCGGTTTAGTGAATTTTATTGGCCTTTTAAAAAGAAATGAAATAAGATCTGATGACAGTTGAAAAAGGAAAGTTTTTTCCTCTTAGGAATTTGGCTTATAATAGAGGGTGGCATTGAACTTTTGTTTTTTTGTTTTTTTTTTGTCTTAGTCTCCTACATTCTGGAATTACAGTTGTGTGCCATCATCCCCAATTCAGAAAAGTTTTTTTTCATTTAGGTATTATTTACTTAACCAATTTTAAAATGGGGGAAAAACTATTACTTGCAATATAAGAAGTCTATTAAATCCCTGTTTAAAGTGACCTTCTGATAGGTTCAAGTACAAGAAACCATGGCAGTTTAGTTTTACTCATCAGATTTAGTTTAGTGCAGCAATGTACAAGAGAATAAATATTTATTTGAATCTATGTGTGTGTGTGCAAGCATGTTCTCTCATGCATGTGTGCATGCTTTCCACTTTCATGTATACTTGTAACGTTTCATGTGTAAATCAAACAGTTTTACAAAAAAATAAGTTTGATATTACTGTATGAATTTTTGTCTTGTTTCTATTTAAATGTTAAATTAAAAATTTCCCCCTTTATATATCTAAAGATGAATTGTCCATTCCTTTTCTTCATGGCAATCTCTCTCTGTATTGATATGGTTTGTAGTTAAAAAAATTACATAAAGGAATATTGATCAATTGAAAATTAAGTCAGAATTACAAAAATATTTAGAGACAAACGAATCACTATGTTTTTCACCTTCTTTGCTTTTAGTGGGACTTCCCCCCTTGCATGCTTAAATGCAATGCTGCACACAAACTCCCGAGGAGAGGAGGGCATCTTCTATAAAGTCCCAGGTAGAATGGGAGTGTATACTTTGAAGGTAAGTTGTTGGGAAGACAAGCAATAGTAAGTGACAACATATAATTACTGAGTCATAGAGACAGAATTCTGTTCTTGAGGAACTTACTTCCAGGAAGAAATAAAATTTCAACCCTAAAGTAAGTAAGTGAATTTTGGGGAGGGTGAAGATTTTCTGGGAGTTGAACTTAGAACCTCATGAATACTAAAAAGGCACCCTCTTTATATATTCTTATTTAAAAATACATTTTTAAGCTTTATTTTATCTTATGTGTATGGGTGTCTTGCCTGCATGTATATTTGTGTACTACATACTTGTAGTACTCATAGATGCCAGAAGAAGGGGTTGGATCCTCTGGAGCTAAAGTTACGGTTGATAGCTTCTGTGTGGGTCCTCTGGAGGAGCAGCAGTCCATGATCCTGCTGAGCCCTCTCTCCAGTCCCTACTTTATTTTGAAGAGGTTAAAAATATTTACATTACAAATTGGGTATTGCTTTAGATGCTGTTTTACTCATGATCTTCCCCACTCAAACTTACTTATGATTATTACTCCTATTTTTATAAGGGAGAAAACTAAAGTTCAAAAGATGTGTTTTCTTTACCAGTTTTGGCTGTATTGTATCAGAATAAGAATAGGAACTCTGGTCAGACATTTCTTTTTCTATAACAAGTTGGCTAATATGTAATTCGTACACTGAAATGGTAGCCTTATCAATATCCTTTCACTTACAAGTAGGAGAACCAGTCTGTATGAGCTTAGTAAGAAGGCTGGAGAATTGAACTCATACAACCTAACATTCATGGGAAATCGAGGCTGGATCAAAAAGATGTCATCTAGTCTTGGTCTCTGTTCTTTCTTTTAGCTTTATTCTCAGTCAGCTTCTCCTCATCGTATATGAATTCATTCCGAGTCTCCATTCTGCAAACTGTAAGTCTAGAGAGACAAGAGTCCAGTATCTAAAGCAAGAGACTCCCCCTCATTTAGATTTAACTTACTTTGTTTGGCCCAGCCCATGTGACACCATACATGAGTTATGGCTATTGTCAAATGTATAGAATCATTTTTACTCTTGATGTAAGGATTAGATTAAGCTTGTGTCACCTTGATAATTAAAATAACAAAGGAAGTTTGTCAGCAAGCCAGAATGAATGTTTGTCTTATACCCGAAGACACCTCTCTCCCATTACTGCTTATCTCCTAGCTACATACCACAATGCTCAGTAGTAGTGTGGAGCCTACTAACGTTAAAAGCATCTAATCTAGGTTGCTGAGATAGATCAGCATGTAAGGAAAGGTACTGACTGGAAACCTGTTTTGTCCCCTGGGCACATATAAATGAAGGAGAGAACAGACTCTCACAAGTTGTTCTTTTAACTTTCGTATGTGTGCTATGTCACATTGGTGCCCATACTTACATACTAAATAATGCAAAACTAAACAAATGGACATCTTCTAGGTGTGCCCATGCATGCCTTAATCCTAGCACTCAGGCTTCAGATCTAGGTATCTCTTGAGTCCTAGCCAGGCAGCCTGTGATGCACAGTGAGATCCTGTCATAAACAATACAAAACAAAAGAGGAATAATACCCCATATATAGAAGCTGAATATGGTGGTGTATGGTTATCAATCGTAATACTCAGGAGGCCAAAGCAAAAGGATCATGTCCAGTCCTAGGACCAATTTGTGCAATATACAAAGTCGTTTCCTGCTTTTTAATCTTAACTACCTCTGACTTTGTCTGCAGTGTTTAACATTTGCGTATTATAGGACTTTAATTCTAAATGAAGCTTTCATTTTCTCTTTTGATATTTTAGCTATTGTAGATCTTCCAGGATTTTCTTTGTATTCATTAAAGTGCTTACTGTGTTGTAGAGATGGGAAATTCAAAATATATTTTCTATTAGTGCCACTCAGGTCCGTTCTCTGGTATCAGGCATTTTGGGGGTTTCTCCCATACATCAAGCAATTTTCCCACTGAAATCAGCTAGGTGCTCTTAAATTTAACTCAAGTTTCGCACTGTCTGTCTCCATCGTGTCAGGCTAAGGGCTCAGTACCATGGATTACCCTTTACTTCATCTGCCAGTTGCAAGTCTTTGGCTGTGACCTTACCTCGATAGACCAATTGTAATTATTGTTTGATGTCCTTCTCGGGTTTCATTTACTTTCTAGGACTGCTTACAAAAAGATGTCAGAGAAAACCTTTTAAGTTTTCCATTTATTGTAATTCAAATAAAAGACATACATAAAGTGAGGTGATCATTGAGTATGGAAGCTGTCTTGGCATATCAGCTCCAAGCACAAATGTGATTTTAGCCATGTGCAAGCTCATCCAAAGCCATAGATTAGCCTTGAATGGAAGATTTGTGATTGAAGCATCATACTGTCATTGCTATCAACTCAGTCTTTATCCTTGAGATCTTGTTAAAAGTTGCAATTTTCTAATCACATAATTGTCTCTTAAGTAGTCAGCTCCACTCTGAGGCAGGCCATTAGGAACACACAGTCAGTCATCTTAGCAACACACATAGTAAGTATCACTATCATTTAGGTGCCTGTTTTAGGAGCTAGAATCAAAGACCAAACAGCAGAACAATAGACTTTCCTAATTCCACTCTTTCCCCCTGCACCCCCCCCCCAACATGGTGTCTCTGTGTAGCACTAGCTGTCCTGGAACTCACTTTGTAGACCAGGCTGGCCTCGAACTCAGAAATCCACCTGCCTCTGCCTCCCAAGTGCTGGGATTAAAGGTGTGCGCCACCACTGCCTGGCCTAATCCCACTCTTGATTAGGAAAGTCCAAAAGTCAGTGCTCTGTATCAAGGGTTCAGAGTTTAAGGCTGGAGAGATAGCTCAGCAGTTAATAAGAGCACTTGTTGATGTTGTAGATGAAGGGGGTTCAGCTTCTGGCATGATGTTCTCTCCTGGCCTCCATAGACATTGTATATACATGTATATATATATGCATTCGTGCAAAATACATAAAATAAATAAAATCTTTAAAGAAAGAAGAACTTAGAGTTCAAATAATATATGTCTTATATTACATTGTCAAGTCTATACCAGAAATAAATGTTGGATAAACTATAATTGTTGGACTTGTTAATGCTCATATTTTCATTATTAAAAAATTTCATATTTATAAAATATACTGTGAAACTCTTGTATTATAATGAAGCAAAATAAAAATTAGTTTTAAATAAAGGGATCTAGAAAGTTTCTGTTATTTATTGGATTTGAGCTGGACTTGAACATATACTTAAGAGGAGTGAAGGCCTTCAGATAATAGGTTTTCCTATTGCTTCCTATTTCCTATGAGTCGCTCAAATGAAGAGAAAGATGAAATTCTGAATAGATTTTTTTTTTTTTTTTTTTTTAGTAAAAAGCCCGGCCTGAATAGATTTTAAGTAGAAAAAAATAGATTAAGAGATAATCACTGAAGTTAAGATGATGATTATTATTATTATTATTATTATTATTATTATTAGTTTGGTTTTTTTTGAGACAGGGTTTCTCTGTATAGCCCTGACTGTCCTCGAACTCACTCTGTAGACCAGGCTGGCCTCGAACTCAGAAATCCGCCTGTCTCTGCCTCCCAAGTGCTGAGATTAAAGGTGTGCGCCACCACTACCCGGCTGAAGTTAAGATTATTGATAAACATTAGCTATCAATTAAGTTTGACCCTGACTGAGCTTTGTGAGTTTGGGTGGTGTGTTGGGTAAACAGATGTCAGAGGTCATCAGGGAGAACCATTGGATCAAACCTGTGTTTTAAGATTTTTCATGTAAAGGTAATTATAGTTTGAATGAGGAATTCAGAATAGTAAAAGAGGTAGACCCAAGAGACATTGAAGAAATAGAACATATTGCATTTGGGATGTGTAAAATAGTGGGTGAGAAAAGATCCTAAGATTTGGGGCATGAGCCATTGATCCCAGAGGGATCACAAGTTTTTTACAAAAAGAAGATAATTATATTTGTATTTCAGATACTTGTTGAACCTACAGGTCAAGATGTCTGGCTGGCAACTAACTCTATAAAAGCTGTCCTGCATTTTGAAGGAAGGAATATAAAAATATGGGGTCTGTATTTTAAGAAAGTGTATAACATAAGAGATGGGTTAGAGGAAAATTTAACTGGAAAATAACTGTTCTTACTCGATTGGACTTAATCTTGAGAATATGTCATTCGGTGCCAGTTAGATATAGGATTAATTTTTTGTGCCTGTCAGTTCATTTTTTAAATGTGAGTGTAAAAGTAATTATGTGAGACCATAGAGTACTGATGGAAAGAAAATCCTTATGTGAAATAACATTCAATAATTCATTTGTTTGTATATTTTTTTTACTATGTAAACACAGTATTGAGCTCTCATAAAGGCATTATTCTAAACATAATTAGCTTATTTAGTTTAATTTCTATGTGACCTTTATGGTAGGTACTGTTACCTCACCTTAGAAACTAAAATGAAAGCATGAGAAATGAACTTAGGCTAAGGCTGGGTAGCTGGGAGGAGACAAAGCCAGAAAGCCTTACTTCCCTAGCCTTTCATATGCAGCTGCCAGGTTAATGTTTGTTTCTCAGACTCAGTAGACATAGTTATTATTCTTTCTGGTTAACATTCTCATTATTTAGAGCTAACACTAAAGTGATTAACATGATTCTTAAAAACAACAAAACAAATAATACTCTTTTTCTTGCTGCTACTTATTAACCAATATTCAAGACCTAGTTAGATGAACATAAAATAATAATCTTATTTTCCTGACTTTAATTCTGTAATTGAATTCAGAACATATAGGGTCCTACCCTACACATATACAATGATGTCTAAGAAAAATATTATTAGCTTTTTAAACCTCAACGTTTCGTCTTTTACCTGGATTTATATATACAGTTTTGGTGTAATTTAAACACATGTTGTGCCTGCATATAAATGTTGTGTGTAATTTTTATCTTTGAATATAGATCGAAAATTAACTTATTTGACCCCCAAAAAGGGAAGCATCAGGATTTCGGCAGATGTTTGTGGTGTTACTATATCATAATACTAAAATTAATCAGCTAATTATTTATTGCATTACATATTAGAAATTTAGTTTCAATTTGCTACAGTGGTAACAGTCCTAACAGGATGCCTACATTTTCAGAAAGATGTGCCAGATGGAGTGAAAGAACTGTCAGAAGGTTCAGAAGAAAGCAGTGATGGTCAGTCAGATTCTCAGAGCTCTGAGAACAGCAGCAGCAGTGATGGTGGCAGCAACAAAGAAGGGAGAAAGAGCAGGTGGAAAAGGAAAGGTAATCTCCTACTGCTGCAGCAGTGCCTTACCGCTCTTCTCAGACCGTCAGCTCCTCCTTCCCTGGTAGCTTAGTGCTCTGCAGTACTCTTCTGCAGGGGCCAAGTGTTTGTATTTAACCTTTCAGGGCAACAGCCACTAGCCTCATGAACCTCTGACTGTGTGACTGAGGAGTTTTTAAAAGTAATTTTTCTTTTAGGGGCTGGGAGATTGCTCTGTGTGGCTGATATGCTGTGTAAGCCTAAAGATTTGAGTCTGGATCCCCAGCACCCATTCATATGTAATAGTAGTGAAGGGGATAAAGGAGCCTTGCATCTCCTGGGGCTTGCTGGTCCAGGGCCATGCTCCAGGATCAATTTTCAGGGGGTGGGGGGTGAGAGAGGGAAGAGAGATTTTGTGTGTGTGTGTGTGTGTGTATGTGTTTGAGAGAGGGAGGGAATGAGGGAGAAGACTTCGTGAATTATCAAAACCAAAACATGAAGTTGAAAGGGGCATGTTGGAGTGGGTTATGATGGGAACTGTATAAAGTTTAAGTTTAAGGATCATAGTTTAAATCTCCAGAATGTAAAAGTTGGACAGACATGACAGCCGACTATAGTCTCAGCTAGCACATAAGCAAAGTCAGGATTGCTAGTTAGCTAAACTAGCTCAAGTTTGACAAGCGCTGGTTCAGTGAGAGATCAGCCTCTATACACATGATATACACTACATACACAAAGGGGAGAAAACCATGGGAAATGATGAAGGAATACTCTTAATGTGAACTCTGGTCTCTTGTGTACATGCACATGTGAGTACATAATGCACAGACACTCAATGCTCCCCCACCCCATGTCAGTTTGGAGAATACTTAGGTTCCAGTTGAGTGGAAAGCAGTGTTTCCATTTGCTTTCTACTCTGACGTGTCCAGACTCGTTCACCTTGTGTTTTCTTTGTGCTTTTTTGTTTACATATTTTTTGTTCTTGGCTTTTGTTGACAGGGTCTTAACATGTAGCACTGCCTTGCAATTGGATAGCCTAGGATGGCATTTATCACCCAGAGTTTGTTGTTTACATTGTAATTTACTCTTGATAGTGTACTTTCTGAGACTTGGGACAGTTGCATAATACTGTATAAAGTATTATAAACACATATGTACACATGTATGTCATACAGAATATTTCACTGCCCTAAGTATCCTCTCTGATACACTCTTCTGGCTAACTTGTGATCTTTTCTACTGTCTTCATAGTTTTGCTTTTCCAAAACTGTCATGAAGTTGGAATCTTTTCAAATAGATATTGTTTTTAAAATTACATGTTTTTGTATGTGCACTCACATGCATGTGCATGTCAACATCTACATTCATATGTGCACTAGTTGTATGTATTCATATGGCATTTATTTAGATGTCAGAGGACAGTTTACAGGAATTGATTGTCTCTTATACTCATGTGGATCTTGTGTGGTCAAGGTTGGTCTTTACCCACCAAACTACCTTCCTGGCTCCAGATTGGCATACTTCCTTAGTAGTGTGAGTTGGTGATTGCTCCATGTATTTTCATGGCTTATGGGTACATTTCCTTGTAGAGGTAAATTGTATGGCATAATTTGCAAGTAGCCATTCACCACCTAAAAGATGTAATTGCATTGGCAATGAAGAGTGAGAACTACTATGAACTTTGCAAGTTTTTTCTGAGGGCATACATTGTCCCTGTGTAAATTCACAGAAGTATGACTGCTACATCGTGAGACTATGTTAAGTTTTATAAGAAGCTGCCATAGTGCTGCAATGGCTGCCGCTTTGAATTTCCACCAATATTGAATGGCAGTTGCTATGGTTTTATATCCTTACCAGCAGTTTGTGTTATCTATCAACCTTCTGGATTTTAGCCATTCTAATAGATGCATATCAGTATTTTACTGTTGTAATTTGTATTTCCATGATTGCATGTGATGTAGAAGTCTTTTTGCATAGTTATTTTTCATTTGAATATGTTCTTTGGTCAGAAATGTGCCCAGGTCCTTGGTCCATTTTTGTTGGGATGTTAATTTTTTTTATTATTGGCCTTGGTACATTCTTTGTTCATTTTTGAGGAGTAGGGTTTGGGTTTTTTTTTTTAAGATTTATTTTTATTTTATGTGTATGTAAGTTTTGCCTGTGTGTATGTCTGTATCATGTGCATACCTGGTGCCCACAGATGCCAGAAGAGGGCATTGGATCCCCTGGGACTGGAATTATGGATGGTTATGAGCCACCATGTGGGTGCTGGGAATTGACTCTGGGTCCTCTGCAAGAGTAGCCAGTTCTCTTTACTGCTGAGCCAGCTCTATAGCCCTGGATTATAGTCTTTTATTCGGTAAGTTTTTTCTGTGTATTTTCTCCAAAACCATAGCTGTGTTTTTTGGGGGGTGTTTTTGGGTGGTGGATTGTTTGTTTGCTTTATTCTGTTTATTTTTAATTCTCTTGTCAGTCCCCCCCCTCCAAATATGTGTCTGTTTGTATATATGACTAATCAGTACAGACTCACACATGCCACAGTGTGGAGGTCAGAAGACAACCTTTAGGGGTCGGTTCTCACCACTTGCACCTTTGTTTTGAGAGAGAATTTCTCTTATTTCTGCTACTACCCTTAAGCTTCTGGGCAGTTCCTCCCATTTTGCTTTAGGAACACTGGGATTGCAGATAAGTGCTTCCCCATCTGGCCTTTTATGCATTTCAGAGACCTGAGCTCATATAGTCAAGGTTTTGGGCAAGCACTTGTACCCCTTTGAACAGTCTCTCCAGTTCTGGTTCTGCAGTTTCTTTTTATGAAGCAGAAGTTATTAATTTGAATTTAGTTTAGTTTATCAGTCATTTTTTTAGTGAACTTGAGCCTTGGTATTGTATCTAAAAAGTCATGACAATCCAGGCTCACCTATATTTATTTTCTTCTATATCTTCTAGAAGTTTTGTAATCTTGAGTTTTGTGTTTAAGTCTGTGATTAATTTTAATTTTAAAAATATCTAGAGAGTGTGTGTTTGTGTGTGTATTTGTGTGTGTGTGTTTATAGGGGGTAGAGGGCATGGAGACTATGTTGTGGTGTACATGTGTAGACCTTCCTGTGGGTTTTGAGGATTGAACTCAGATTTTCATGCTTATGTAGCAGTCACCTTTATACTTGCTGAGCCATCTCTCCATCACAATTTGAGTTAATTGTTATGCTGAATCTGTTTCTTGCAGTGTGGAGATCTAGTTAGCTGGGCATGGTATACATCTTTAGTCCCAGCACTTGGAAGGCAGGTGCAGACAGATAGGAATTCAAGGCCAGCCAGGGTTACATAATGAGATCTTACCTCAAAAGAGAAAAAAAAAATGTACAGGTTTTATTTAGCTTTGTGAAATGTGTTGAGCAACATTATAAAATTTACCTTGGTTTATTTTTATTCTCAGCCTATGTCCCTTGTGGAAGTTGTTTACTAAAACTTATTTGCAACTCTTCTCTATTTCTGTCTTCTAAACTTGGAGCACTTACTGTTCTCAGTTCTCTTCCTTCCTTCATTACTACTAGCAAACACCAGATGCAGTCTGCTTGTCTTTCCTCTCATACCGTTTGATACCTAACCCAAGACACTTAAGGAATAATGGCTACATTGAATCCCTTTCCCCTGGAAGGTATTTTCCTGTTAAAGGTAACATTTTGTCATCTATTCATACCAATTATTCTGTAGCTTTTTATTAGCTTCTGTTTGAAGAGGGAAAAAATTTTTGTTTTGCTTTTTGTTTTGTTTTTTTTGAGACAGGGTTTCTTGGTGGAGCCCTGGCTGTCCTGGAACTCACTCTGAAGACCAGGCTGACCTCGAACTCAGAAATCTACCTGCCTCTGCCTCCCAAGTGCTGGGATTAAAGGTGTGTGTTACCACTGCCTGGCAGGGAAAAAAATTTTAACCCTCATATTTAATAAGTTATATGTGGCAGTAGAAATTTTGGACTAACTGCTGAGTACTTTATGGAGGTAGTGATGTAGTAAGTAGGCATTCAGAATTTTCTCAAGTTTGAATATCTCCTAAATTTAAATAAGTAAACTGCCTTAGACCTTAAGATAATTCTTCCTGTAATAACAAATTCATTAATTTTAACTGCATTGAGAACTGTTGATGTGCATATTATAAAATAGATCTAATTTTTTTCATTCCCATGGTAATAATTGTGCTATGCTTGGGAAGCATCAAACTAATCTAGCTCATATTCTCTGGTATAGCTACTATACCCATACAGTTCAAGAAAACTAATCATATAATCTTAGTTTTAAGTTTGCAAACTCATTGGCAACACACCCAGACTTGGTTTGTCAGACACAAATGAAATAAAAGCAAAATGAAATAGGGCACTCTGTTTTAAATCTTTGAGTAATTTGAGAATAATCCCCAATAGTGATGAATAGCAGCTTCTACCCAGGGTCTTTTCTGCCCAGATTTTTTTTTAATCACTTGATATGGGCAGTATAAAGTGGAAAGGTCTTGGGGGCTAGAGAGATAAGTAGTATCTTAGTAGTTAAGAACAACACTGAGTGTTCTTCCAAAGGTCTTGAGTTTAATTCCCAGCAACCACATGGAGACTCACAACCATCTGTAATGGGATCTGATGCCATCTTCTGGTGTGTCTGAAGACAGCGACAGTGTACTCACATGCGTAAAGTAAATAAGTAAATCTTTTTTAAAAGTGAAAAGGGCTTTGTCTTTTTCCCACGTCTCTCCAGCTTAGACTTTTTTTTTTTTTTTAAGTTTGGAAATTGTAGGCAAGAGAAATAACTAGCAAGAGTCATGTTTCCTTGGTGGCATCATCCACAAGGAGATAAACATTAAACGTGGCCAGAATGAACTGAACAAAAGTCACTGTCTTGGAATATATTAGAGCATTTTGTTCAGGGTGAAGTACTCACAGGGTTTCATATAGCCCTGGGCTATATACTGAGACACTGTCTGAAAAGACTATAACAAACAAAAGTACTAAAAAGACAGCTCTACTTATCAGTGAAGC